CAGAGCCGTCCTCCCTCACGCCCCACCGCCCCTGCCTCTGCGCCTCCCTCCAGACCCCCAGGTGCTGGCTGCCTCGCCGCTCCCGGGCTCTCCCATCGGATTGGGCTCCCTCCATCCTGGCCTCCACCGCCTCGGTCTCCATCTTTGCACCCTCCCCGACAGTGTCCCACCTCACCTCTCTGGCCCTTGGGGATTCGGAGCCTGCACTCCTGGCCCCAGGCTCCTGAGTGGGGCGCGGCTGGGATGGGCGAGGTCCCTGGAGGGGAGGGAGGAGTGGGCTGGCCCGGAGCCCCTTCCCACACAACCTCAACACAGCCCTCCCCTCGCGCACCACCGCCCCCTTTCAGCCCCTTTTTTTCTGGCTCCAGGGCCCTCTCTCCCGTTCCAGCTCCCCTCCTCCTTGTCCCCAGGCTAAGTAGACACACACCCTCTTTCTGTCCGTGCCTGGAAGAGGAGCCTGGAACAACCTAGAACAGGGATGCTGAGGAGGCTGGGCAGCTCGGGGTTAGGGACTCCGTGGCGTGAGAGGCACCTGAGAGAGGGGAGTCGCAGAGCAGGGCACAGTGAGTCAGGCACCTCCTCTGTCCCGGATTACCAGTCCCAGGGGTTCCTGAGCAACGGGTACGTCCTCTTCTTTCCCCTACACCCTAGCCCTTAGCCCCCTGGCATCCCACAGTGCCTCCTCTCTCCCTGCCCCAGGACCCACAGTAACCACTGTAGGCGCCTTTGAAGTGTCTGAGGGCTGTGAGAGGAAGAAAGGCCAACGCTGGGGGTCCCTAGAACGCCGTGGGATGCAAGCTATGGAAGGTGAGTTGTTTCCCCAAAGGTTTTGTCCACCTCCCCCATTTTTTTCCCCTCCTTCCTTCCTCTGACCCCAGAGCTCTGAGCCAGAAAACAGCCTTCTCTTAATCCACCTCAGGCCCCTCCTCCTTAGCATCTGGGCCCCAGCCCTCCCAGACCGGCTTTGATCGAAGTTCAGGGAGCAGCCCTTTGGGCCCCTCTTTACCCCGGCTAACCAGGTTGTGTGTCCTGGGGGAGCTGCCAGACAGATAAAAGAGGCCTTGTTGGACAGAGCTTTGAAGCAGCCTTTCAGCAGGGGGTTTGTTCTCATTGCCTGCCGACCCAGATCCCAAGCTGTCTCTTATTTTGAAAGGCAAGGACATGAACATGGGAATTGTCTTTCTGGAGCTACCATTAACTTCTAAATGGAAGCCTTGTAGCTTTGACTTTCTGGCATTTCTTACTGCCTGAGCGACAGAGCCTAGGAGGGAGGGAGGTGAAGCCAACCTCCTTACACACATGCCTCCCTACCACACTCGTGAGGTGGAAGCTGCTGCCAACACCTTTCCCAGGACCTCGCATGAAGTGTCCCCAGGCCCCTCTTCTCCTTGGGTGTGAATAGCCCTGCCCTCTGTAAGAGGGGTCAGATGACACAGGAGTCCCAGAGGCACCTCAGACAGGCTGCAGGTATTGGGGAAAGTGAAACCAAAGATTCAAAATTTCCAAACCAAGCAGACAGTCGCCATCCAAGCAAAATTCTATCTACAGCAACTGCATTGCAGTAAAGGGGGTGCTCAACAACCAGAGGCTGGGGAGCAGCATCAAACCCCACTTTTTAAAAGCATTATTATGCCAGGCTTTCTTTTACACACAAGTTCAACCTAAGACTTCTCCTGAACACCACCTTGGGTCAACAGGGGAAGAGACCTCATGACACCAGCTGAGCAAAGCCAGGTGGACGTGCTAGAAAATGTTTTAAGCAGCTTGGTATGGTGATGCACACTTGTAATTCCCACACTTGAGAGGCTGAGGCAGGAGGCTTGCCACAAGTTCCAAGGCCAGCCTGAATTATAAAGCAAGACCCTATCTTTACTTAAATAAACAAGCATATTTCATAATATATATTTGAAAAGGCCCCAGCATTTGTCCAGTAAAACATTTAGGATCATTTCACTCAGATGTTTACTTTCTACCTACAGACAGTCAATACTTCTAATTATGGAAAGGGTAATTTCTCACAATACACCTGTATAATTTTTTAACCTGCAAACCCCCAAAATGAAACTCTGGGCCCGTTTGACCTGAAGATACCACAGTGTCTAAATCTTCCCTTGCCTACTTGTCCTACTATCCAGGGCCCAGATACTAGAAGAGCCAGTTATTCTCCTACAACCTTCCACAGCTAAGCCAGCACCTGCTCCATTTGCCCAAAAGCAGTAGGGGTCAGCAGGTGTGATACTGGCCTAGAAGTTCTTGTGGGGGGAAGGATGCCTCAAACCTAACTGTCATACCTACAGCTTCATCAAGCCCTATCCAGGGCCTCCTGAGCAATGGTAGATGTGTCACTCTTCTATCATCTTGGTCCAAGGATGGTAAATTGAGTGGCGAGCTCTGGAAGGACTACAGACATGAAGTGGGTGCCAACTCCCTGGTGGGATGGGTCTCTCCCATCTCTTTAGGGGAGGTGTTACTCCCTGCTCTCTATGAGGAGGAAGAAGAGGAGGAGGAAGAAGAAGAGGGAGAAGAAGAAGAAGAAGAAGAAGGAGTGCAGAAAAGTAACAGTGTGAGCTCCCTGTCTGTTGGCAAGCATCGAGGCCTGAGCCTCACAGAGACAGAGCTGGAGGAACTCAGGGCTCAGGTGCTCCAGCTGGTGGCAGAACTGGAGGAGACCCGGGAACTGGCTGGGCAGCATGAGGATGACTCCTTGGAGCTGCAGGGTGAGTGTCTGTGATGGAGGTGGGGTGGGGGTGACAATTCTGGGCTCCCATGGAGTCAAATTGATACCGTACCCTCTTACTGCAGGGCTCTTGGAAGATGAACGGCTGGCCAGTGCCCAGCAGGCGGAGGTGTTCACTAAGCAGATCCAGGGGCTCCAAGGTAATCCCCCTTTCAGATTCAGAGGGGAAATGGACCAGTGAGCCCCTTTCTCCTGGGGGTTTACTGAAACAAAGCAAACAAGCATAATCTATTCCATATTTTTACCTCATGTTCCTCTACTGTTCTCCCCCTTCCCTCTATTCTCCTCATTCCATAATTTCCATTCCTTGCATTTCTCCCTGACTTTTCTGACTCCCTTCTCTTTGTTTCCCCTCCTATCTCACATGTCCTCTCCTCCCTTTGTCTCTCCTCACATTCCTTCACCATGCATTCCTTATCCTTTGTCCTGATCAGTGCAAAGGGTGTGTGATTAAGGTAGAGTCCTTGTTTTGGGTCCTTCCTAGGACACCATGGGAAAGAGCAGGAAGCCAATGTGGAGTGACTGGGGAGGCATTCTGTGCATCTTTGAGGGAAGCAGATGGGAGTGCTTCTCTAGATCCCCAGGACCTGAGCTTGTGGCCCCCAAATTCCTTTCTTCTAGAACCCATTTTCCTTTGTCTCTGGAAGGCAAGCATCCTACTGCACTGCTAAGTAGAAAGGTAGCTTGTGTTAGTTCTGAGGACTTCATGGAGGTTTTGGGGAGCTGCCCTAGAAAACAGCAGGAACTCTCTAGGGAGAAATAAGATCAAGCCAAATGAAGAGTATAAATGGAGAAAAAAGGAAGGTCTGGGAGCAGGCCTAGAGAGAAACAAGCCAAGGTGTAAAAAGAGGGAGGGAAGATGAAGGGGACAGAAGATGTAAGCAAAAGAAAATGCAGGAAGTGTGGCCAAGAAGAGGAAAAAAATGTGAGGAGACGTACGTTACATAGGGAAGAGTGTGGATGTTGGTCTCAGATCACCTGGTTTATTTGGCCATTTTTTGTGTTTGTTTTTGTTTTTTCTCACAGTGCGGGGAACTAAACCCAGGGTCTTCACACTGAGCTACATCTACAGCTCATTTTTTTATTTTCTACTTTAAGACAGGGTCTCACCAAGTTGCCTGGGCTGGATTCCAGCTTGTGATCCTCCTGCTTCAGCCTCCCAGAGTACTAGGATTCTGGCAGTTTCCACCACCCCCTCCTAGAGCACCTAGGTTCTTGGGCCCAGCTTTGGTTCCCAGCCCTGTGAGAAAGAACAAAAACAAACACAAAAAATAGCCAAATAAACAAACTGGGTGATCTGAGACCAACATCCACACTCTTCCCTATGTAACATACGTCTCCTCACATATGTCTCCCTAAGAGAGGCCCCTCCTCTCTTAAAATGTTGTTATCTTGGGCGAGTCACTTTTATCTCTCTGAGATGCCATTTCTTATCTATAAAATAGGGCTAAATAGTTTATGAACTGTTTATGTAGAGCCTTTGTATTTGAAGGACCAGCTATGAACAAGGCAGACTGACTCCCATTGAAGACTAGATTCTCATGGAGAAAGGCAGAGAATAAACAAGTAGCATACGTTTAGGAGGCAGTAAGCACTTTAACACAATATAAAAATGTAATTTTTAGGGAGAGTAGATGAGACGGGAGTTTATTTTAGACAGCATAGTTTGAAAGGTTCTCTTTGAGAAAATGACATTTGAGCTGAACAATGGGAAAGACTTTGATTTATGGCCTAAGGGAAGAGCACACCAGGCAGAAGGAACAGCAGCTGAAAAGGCCCAGAAGTGATAATGAGCTTCATATGCGAGGGACAGAACAAAGGTTCTAGTGGCTGTGAAGGGCCCTGGTAAGAGAAAGTTCCTAGAGACAGACAGAGGCCAATTAAAGAGCATCTTGTAGGCCACCTAAGAGGTCTGCCTTTCATTTAAACCATAGGGGGATCTTGGCAAGGGCTGGGATGGTCTGATCTGTTTTGCATTTTGAAAGAGTATTTTAGCCATTATGTAAAAACTGGTTGGAAAAAAGGGAGTTGAAACAGTGGGTGTTGTCAGGAAATTATTGCAGTCCAATCAAAAAAATAGATTATGTCGGGCTGGAGATGTAGCTCAGCGACTAAGTGCTTGCTTAGGTAAGTAGAGGGGCCAGGGTTTGATCCCCAGCACTGCATGCCATGCCGGCCCTGCCCCCAGGCACACTGAGCTGGTGATGGAGTCAGGGCATGGTGATGCACACCTGTAATCCCAGCACAAGGAAGGCTGAAAACAAGTCCAAGCTGCATAGTGAGACTCTGCAAAAAAAGAAAATGTTTGCCTGCATTAGGGCAATAGAAATGGAAATGATTCAGAATATATGTTGAAGAGGGAACCTTCAACAGCTGCTACTGAATTCAATGAGGACTAACAAAGACATGAGAGATACCTTAGGCTGGAGAGGCTGGATGGGTGATGGCATTGTTCACTGGGATGGGAGAAATCTAGCACACAACACATTTGAAGACTGAGGGAGCCATTTAGGATTTAAAATGTTTTCCACCTGATGAGTTTGATACCTAAGTGACTGTGTCAAGGAGGCAGTTGGACATAAGAATCCAGAACCAGTAGAGAAGTTCAGGCTGAGAGAGAGATTTGGTAGTTACTAGCATTTTGCTGGCATTAGAAACCATGGGAGGGCCGGTGAGATAGCCCAGCGGTCTAAAGTGCCTGCTTAGGAAAGCTTAGGCAGGCACAGGGGACCATGGTTCAATTCCCTGCACCACATGCCCTGCCAAGCCCAACCTCAGGGGGGTTAACCCGGCCAAATAATTAAATAAATATAAATGAAACCATGGGAGATGATGTTGCTATCATATGGAAAGATATGAGAAGAGGAGAAGAAAAGTTCCCATTCCAGAAACACTGATATTTATAGGTCCACCATAGAAGGTGAAATGAGCAAAAGGAACTGAGGTAGGAGACTCCAGAGGTGTGTCATGCTATGGAAGCCAAGAGCAGGAAGTGCTTCAAGGAGATAATGATGCACTGTGTCAAAAGTTGCTAAGGCAAATGAGGTGACCATTGGAGTTGGCAGGATGGCACACCCTGAGACATTTTCAAGCAAACAGAACACTAGTTGGATTGGGACTGAAGAGGAAATAGGAGGTCAAATGGAAAAGGTGAGTATAGATCATTCTAATAGTCATTTCAAAGAGAAGTAAGAGAAAGGAGGTGGGGTCAAGGGAGGTCCTTTTTGTAAAGGTAAGAAATGCTAGATCATGTGTGAAGAAAGAAAAGATGGAAAGCAGCAAGGAGTGCCTGGAGAAGGAACATTCTTCCAATAGGTGGGAAAGGCGGACAGTAAGAACTATCTGGGAAGGTAAAGCTCCAAAGCGTTTCTCTCCCTTGGCTTCCAACATTGTTTCTAGTGTTTCCAGGATGACTTCTATCTTCCCCCGCCTGGACTGTGGGTGGGAGGGGCCGTCCCCATGCCCCGCCCCACCGGGGAACCTGAGCTGGTCCTCGCGCAGGCGTGTTTCCCGTTTCCGCCGAGAGGGGGCGCGCGCGGCCCCAGGTAGCTGGTGGTCAGTGGACATTCCGGCCGCCACAGCCCCTCCGGGGCCGGGAGCTGCCGGGCGGCGGGCAGGCGGCCCCCCCGCCCAGGGACACCGCTAGTTGGGGGCCAGCGAGATGGAGGCAATAACTTGTGAGTGAGACTTGACGTGGCTGTCCAGCAGCCAGATTCGTGGCCTCCACGCATCATCTCATGGTCTGAGCGCCATGGTCAACGGCGCCAGCTCTTTGAAACCGGTTCTGGCCTTTGCACCTTCTGGCCTCAGGGCCCATTTCCGGACAGGCCTCGCCCCGTGGACATCCAAGCGCTGCCCCGCGGGTCTGTGAAGGCCCACTTAGAGCCATACCCCAGAGTACCCCTGAAGTCTTGTACCCCGAGGCCAAGGGCACGTTGGGGCTTCGGGGGCTGCCTCCCCCCACCCCCAGAGCCACCCGCGGACCTCTCTGTGCTGTTTAGTAGTGGGAATGGAGCCAGCCAGTACATAATGGGAATGACTTCCTTTCAAATAGAAAGTCAAAGCACCTAAGTGGACTTTTGGGGGCTTGGTATAATTGATTGGCCAACACTAGTTGCTAGGATCATTGTAGAAAAGGAAGGATTAGTGGGAAAGAAGCTGCTGGTGCTACACATTTGAGTTTAGAAGCGTAGGGTCAGAAACTGTCGCGTGAGGTAGCTTGCCTATCTGTCCAAATCAGTCAACCCCTTTTTCATTCTCTGTCTCTGTCTCTCTGTCTCTGTCTCTGTCTCTGTCTCTTTTGGCGCTAGCTGATCTCAACTCCTAAGATCAAATGACCCCCCCCCACCCAGCCTCTGGAGTTCTTACTGGAACTACAGGCATACATTGACACACCCTAAATTTGTCTTATGAAGTATCTAAGTTCTATTTGGATTTTTATAAAAATACCTAAATGTGTCTGTATACGTAGGGACAAAGCAGTACAAATTTGTTGAGTTGATGAACCCCTACCCCATTTATGTATGAATACAGAAGATGTTTATTGAATTACATTCTGCCATTCTTGGACCTGTAATGGTGAGCAAAACGGACATGTTCCTGTCTTCCTCAAGCTCATAACAAAATGAGAAAGAGACCCCCTACACACACTGATGAATACACACACACACACACACATGCCCACACTACAAAAGTACCAGGTGTATGTGAAGGCATTTAATAGAGGACTTCTGTTAGGTTTTCTTTTCCCCTGTTAGATTTTTGAGGCAGGAGGGAGAAGGCTAGGAAAAGTTGGAATCTGAATGGTGACAAAATGAGGCATGGTAGTTTTGTGTCCTGAATAATTTCCAATAATCCATATTCCCTAAAGTGCAATAAAAATTACTTTTTTTTTAAATGAAGCATAGAGAGAGTGTGTTTTGCAGATAGTTTGTGGGAAAGCCATAACCTTTTCAGTCCTTAATTCTGACCCTCTCCTCCTTGTTAATTCCCTAATCCTGGCTCCAAGATCCTGAGTTTTTATTGGTGTCAGTGGCTTTTTTGTTGTTTTATTTTTCTCAGACAGGGACTCACTATGTCATGCAGGCTGGCTTTGAACTCACTTATGTAGTCCAAGCTGGCCTCAAACTCAAGGCAATCCTTCTGTCTCCACCTTGGCAAGCACAAGGACCCAGGTTTAATCCCTGGTGCCACATGCATGCCAGCCCTGGAACCCCAGGTGTGCCGTGCCCACTACTGAAACCAGGCATGGTGGTGCATGCCTGTAATCCCAGTGCTAGGGAGGCTGAGGCAGGAGGATCACTATGAGCCTGAGCTACATAGCAAGACCCTGTACCAAATAAATCAATAATTTTTTTTAGATAAATATTTTTTAAAAATTTAAAAATAGCACAAATATAAATGAAAGTAAAGTACTGTGCCACATATTAGCCCTCTCTGAAGCAACTGTCTTTGATAGCTTGAGGCATAAATACTTCCAGAAGGCATGGTTGTTTCCATAATCTTTATTACATTTGTGTATTATATACTGTACATGTCAAATTTTTTGCAACATTAGGTTTTCCATATATTTTACTTTCTAGTTAATATGAAAGCTTTTTATATCTTCACTATAGATTTGCCACTTTCTTTAAAATGGCTACATAAGATTCTTTCTTTTTTTTTGCGGAACTGGGGATTGAACTCAGGCCTTTGCGCTTACCAGGGAAGCGCTTATTCCACTGAGCCATTTCCCTGGCCTTACATGGTATTCTATTAACATTAATTTAAACAATCCCTTATTAGTCAATATTTAGGTTTTTTAAAATTTTTTATTATCATGTGAAGAATTTACTTTAATTCCAGCTGGAAACTCTAAATACATATGTTTTGGGTCCAGTACTAACTATAATTGTTTGGGGGAGGGGGAATCTGAGTCTGTAATTTCTAAAACTTCCAGGATGGGGCTGGGGAGATAGCTTAGTAGAATAAGCGCTTGCCTGGCAAGTGCAAGGTCCTAAATTCAATTCCCAGTTCTGCAAAAAAAGAAATACCTTTTGAGACTGGGCGTGGTGGCATGCACCTGTAATCCGAGATCTGGGGAGGCTGTAAACAGGTGGATCACTACAAGTCTGCTCTAGTAGTGATACCCTAAACACCCTGTAGACCCTTCCCTAAAATACAAAGTAAATAAATAAATAAATCTTCCAGGATGAATAGGTGAAAATATTGTGCGACAAATTTTTAGCCAAAGAATTTTTAGAAAGGCTCAGGGTATCAATAGAATACTGTCAACCAGAGCCAGGAAGATAGCTCAGCGGCATAAGTGCCTGTCTGGCAAGCACAGGGTCCCAAGTTTGATCCCCTATGACACACACACAGTTTGGTGTTTAACTGAAGCACTTATTTTTTTTACAGTAGCCCTAATTGTTTTTCTCCAAATCTGCCTTACACAGCACCTTACAATGTAGTCCTCCTGTTCCTTTCATAGGTATTCTTTTCATTCCATGCCATATGGCAGTTTACCTCTTTAATAGGATACAGTCTAGGTTATTAAGACTTTCCAGGCAAGAACAAAACTCTGCCTTTAACTTTGTGTGTAAAACATGATAGGTTAGTTCATTTATCCTTCTGACCATCTTAGCCTTTGGGCCTTGCAGGGGAGCTGCGGCATCTACGAGAAGAGATTTCCCTGTTGGAACGTGAGAAGGAAAATGAACTTAAGGAAATAGAACAAGAGCTACACTTGGCCCAAGATGAGATCCAGAATCTGCGGCAAGCTGCGGCAGATTCTGCAACTGAACATGAAAGTGACATAGCATCCCTGCAGGAAGATCTCTGCCGGATGCAGAATGAACTTGATGACATGGAGCGCATCCGAGGGGAATATGAGATGGAGATTGCCTCACTCCGCGCAGAAATGGAAATGAAGAGCTCTGACCCTTCCAATAGTATAAGTCTCTCAGAATTCTCTGGGTTGCAAGGTATGAGATCAAGCCCTCCTCCTGACCCATCAGCAAGGTCAAGTAGAGGAGATCATAAATAGGAAGGAGATAGAGTACCCATAGAAGGAAGGTTGTGTTAGATTATTCATTAAAAACCTCTAAAACAAAATTCCAGGATGAATTTAAGACTGCAGGGGATTAAAAGTTACCCAGTTCTTACATAACCAGTCCATAGTTTTATAGGAAATAGCACCATGGAGATGTACCCTGGAGATTCTTCCCCAGAGAGCAACAGGGTACTGTAGATTTGTCTATGGGAAAGCCCTTCTTAGAAAAGTGTCCAGTTCTGGGGCAGATGTCACTTTGGGAAACTTTATGCTTCTCTGTCATGATGGTACTTTTCCTGCACCACTTTAGGGATGACCTTCACTGTTTCTCAGTCCCAGGATGCTAATTCTTAGGCTTCTTTAGCTCTCCCCAAGGTAGAAACTTTAGGGGTCAACAAATCAGAGCACAAGGCAGCTGGAGAGGAAAAGAGGTTATTTCTAGTAACGCATGAGGCACTCAAAACCTTTCAGACTGAGAGACTCTCAGCTAGTTGCTAGGATCCATGACATAAGAGTCTGCCTTTGTTCCAGGCTAGATTTATGATCTGGGTATAATGGAGGCCCTATATTCAGCCAGGTCAAGCAGAGATGGCAGTCAACAAGGAATCAAAGAATTGCAAGTTTTCTTAGCTGTATCAGTCTCTCAGAAGAGCCTTTGGACTGGTCATGCTGGGAGAGGGTGGCTAGCACATGGGAAAGGTTTTGGCTGGAATAAAACAGTTCAGAAACATTGCTCTGCTCAATAGGGTGAATTTAAATGATCTTTCTCAGAACCTCAGTTTCCGTCTCTGGGATATGGAACCCAAATTAGTTAATAAATCCTTACAATTAGATGGGATCCTGGTACAGAAGAAGTTGCTGAGGGAAAATGTGCAGGAATTGGGATAAAGTGTAGAATTTAGGTACTAGTAAAGTATTTGTTTTGATTCCTTAGTTATGACAAGTGTACCATGCCGATACAAGATTTTAACACCAAGGAAACTGTGAAAAATTTCCCAGGCAACTCTATGCTGTCTCTGCAGCTTTATATAGCCTTAAAACTATGTTAAAATTTAAAATTTATTTAGAGAAAAAAGAAACTCTGGCTGGGGATATAGCTCAGTGACATAAGCACCTGCCTGGCAAGCACAAGGTCCCAAGTTCAATCCCTGATACAAAATTAAAAAAAAAAAAAAAAAAAAAGCTTAGAGGGCTGTTTTGGGAATTAAATGAAATGCCATTCAAGACTGAAACTGTCCAGTCTAATGCTTCACATGGTTTTCATTAAATGTTAACTTTCTTCCTCCTATGGTAATCTGTAGTACTCTTAAAGACTCTAAAGTGCTGGGCATGGTGGTATGTGCCTGTAATCCCAGCACTTGGAAGTCTGAAGCAGATGGATCACAAGTTTGAGGCCAGCCTGGGTAGCCTGAACTATGTAGCAAGACCCTGTCTCAAAATAACAAAAGAAAACAAAACGAAAAAAACAGAAGTGACTTTTAGGGTATTGAATTTTCTAGCAGGTAAAATAGGTCTTGTGCTATAATTAGAGCAAGTTAATGTTTCTTAAATGTCAGTAGAATAAGTGTTCTAAAAGATGTGATTCTAATCATGAAAACATATATCACAAAGATGTTGGTATCATCACAGCATTAAAAAACATTGGTGGTGGGGCTGGTGACATGGCTCAGTGGTCTAAAGCACCTACTTGGAACAAGCTGAGCAAAGCACAGGGACCGGGTTCAATCCCCCAGCACCACATGCCAGCCAGCCCCGCCCCCTGGTGGGCTGAGCTGGCCACACACACACAAAATAAATAAATAAATAAATTTTTAAAAAAAACATTGGTGGGGCTAGGGAAATGGCTCAATAGAAAAGCACAAGGGCCTGAGTTCAATCCCCAGTTCTGAAAAAAAAAAAAAAAAAGCATTGGCAGTTGAGCATGGTGGCACCCACCTATAATCCAGCACTCTAAAGGCTGAGGCATGAGGATCACAAGTTCGAGCCTAAGACTGTCAAAATAAAACATAGTTGGGGAAAAAAAAAAAAAAAAAAAGAATAGTTAGGGAAGTAGTTTAGTGCAGAGGTCCTGGGTTCAATCCCAAACACTAGGAAAAAAATTGGTGATTTCCTTAGGGTCTGTGTGCTAGGACATTTCTACCAGATCTCTGGTAATGCTTGAAGACCAGAAATAGGTTGGGATAGGCTTTGCTGTTAGCAAAGACTATTAGAAAGTATGTTTGGCCATATTGAGCCAGTTTTTTCAGTGTGATGGTAAAAGAAGTAAAGGAAGCTCAGATTCCTGGGTTGTCTCTGAAAGGCACGATCTGATACTGTACTCTTTGGCAGTTCTCATTGCTCAGCTTTTTGTACTAAAATCACAATAGGGAGGAAATCATAAACAGTTAAGTGAGAACTAAATACAATAAGCAAAAAACTTATTTAAACCCTCAAGAGCTCCTGAACTGAAGATGCCACTTCAATTGGGGCTTTCAGGATGAGTGCCCAGGGTATATTTTCTAGGCACAGCAGAGGATGGACAGCTTCTGGAAGAAGCAAACCTCTGTGCCACACAGTTTTGTGGGGCCTATCTTCTATGGCTTTCTAGTATCTCTCTTCTGTCTCCAGAAAAAGAGAAGTAGTCAACCTTCTGGTCTCAGGTTTCTAGGCAGGAAAGCTGGGGACTGGTCATCAGTGCTCTCCACCTTGCCCCACAAAGGTCTCATCTCTGTGCTTGTCCCCTGTAGAAGAACTGCAGCAGCTCCGGGATCGCTACCACTTTCTGAATGAGGAGTACCAGACCCTGCAGCAGAGCAACAGCAGCCTCACAGGGCAGCTGGCAGAGCTGGAGAGTGAGAGGTACAACCACGAGGCAGGGTGCTGTGGACTTTCCCTTGGGCATTCCCTGAAAGACAGAGGCCAGAGTCTAAGAGTGTTCCTTTGCTCTCAAAGAGCCAGTCTTCTGTGGCATCACTAGGGCAGTGAGTTCTAACATTCGGCTTTCTTCTCTTCTTGGCTTTGGGGTCTGGTTTTCTGTAATTTGGAGTAAGTCAGTAGAGTCCTTTGTTGTCTGCACAGACTCAACTGAGTTTAATGGCATAGAGCCTCCTTGATACCAGGCCCAACCTTGAAACCATCTGGACTCACATTCCTAGTGTCCCAGAGTCAAGCACACCTCTGTACCTGAGGTGTTGAAAACTTCATATGATTTTCTAAACATCTTTATTTGAGAGTTGAATTGCTACTGAAGGCCCCTTACAATCTTTGGCCTAAACTGAAGTCATCAACCCCAAGCACACTTGGCCGGTGCTAACCAGGCAGAGCTGCTGCCAATATAGCTTTGGGTTCTGTGTTACAGGACACGAAGAGCAACAGAGAGGTGGCTGGAGTCCCAAGCACTAAGGACTATGGTATCATCAGAGTCTCAGACTTCAGAAATGGATTTCCTCGAACCTGATCCTGAAGTGCAGTTGTTACGCCAGCAACTGCTGGGAGCTGAGGAGCAAATGCACGACATGCAGAACAAGGTAGACCACAGAGGGTAGGGAGGCCTGTTCCACAATTGCTCTTTGACCTTCTCCTGGCTTGTGGCAGGCACAAGGCTGACAGGCCTGTGGTAGGCATGAGACCCCTCAGGATCTTGCTAGCTTGCCTGATATAAATTCAGTCATGTGCCTTATGATGATAGCTTGGCCAAAATTGGATGGTGTGTATAAAATCCCATAAAATCATAATGAAGCTGAAGGATTCCTGTCATTTCATGATGTTGTCATACAACGTATTATTTATTTTATTTATTTATTTATTTATTTTTATTTATTACATTTATTTATTGTGTGTGTGTGTGTGGCCAGCTCAGCCCACAAGGGGGCGGGGCTGGCTGGCATGTGGTGCTGGGGGATCGAACCGCGGTCCCTGTGCTTTGCCAAGCTTGTTTCAAGTAGGTGCTTTAGACCACTGAGCCATCTCTCCAGCCCCACAACGTATTATTTAACATGTTGTGGTAATGTCTGCTGTGAACACACTTTCTGTGTTATCAGTCATGTAAAATATTATATATACCCTTATGCACAGTATTTAAGACTTGAGATGATGATGAATGGCTGTACCACAGGCCTATATATTTACTATGCTTTTATCATTATTTTGGCCAGGGATATAGCTCAGCAGCATAAGTGCCTGGCTGGCAAGAGCAAGGTCCTGAGTTCAATCCCCAGTACCAATAAATAAATAAATAACATTATTTTAGAATATAATCTTTCTACTTATAAAAACAAAATAGGGGCTGGAGAGATGGCTCAGTGGTCTAAAGCACCTACTTGGAACAAGGTTGGCAAAGCACAGAGACCGCGGTTCGATCCCCCAGCACCACATGCCAGCCAGCTGCGCCCCCTGGTGGGCTGAGCTGCCCCACACACACAATAAATAAATGTAAAAAAAAAAAAAAAAAAAAATTTACCAAAAAAATAAAAAAACAGTACACTGTGTCTGATGGCAGCAGCTGCATGGATTCCTTATTCACTGAGTCTCTTGATTGCATCATTTAACTCTTCTGCTTGACTTAATCTCATGTTGTTTTGTTTGTCATAGCTCTGGGAGCAATAGGCTACCGTACAGCCTAGGTGTGTCATGGGTTATGTCATAGGGTACGCCAGGTTATGCTGTCTAGGTTCGTGTAAGTACATTCTATAACACCCTCACAGTGATTCAGTGACCTCGGGAAGCATTTCTGAGCATGTGTCCATGTTTGGAAGGTAGCACATGACTGTATTCCAATCAAAGGAGTGCTTACTTTGCCCAAGCCTGTTCCTGCAGCACATGTGGCACCTGTGCTAAATCAGCCCCCTGTTCCATTTTCTGCACAGTGTAAAGAACTGTGTTGTGAGTTGCAAGAACTACAGCATCAGCGGCGGATCAGTGAGGAGGAGCAGAGGCGGCTTCAGCAGGAGCTCAAGTGTGCCCAGAATGAGGTGCTTCGGTTTCAAACTTCCCACAGCGCTGTCCAGGTAAACACTGGCGGGGGAGGCACCTGGGAGTGCAGAGGGCCTATTTGTTAGGAGTCTGTGCTTCAGGGAAGGCTAAGCTCTGCTGATGTTCATCCTACAACCAGCAGCCCAGGCTGCTAGGGGCCAGCTATAGAAGTCACCTAGCGTGGCATTCTAGAAATGCACTCATTGTTGAGTATCTGCCTCCCTGAAGAGAAGCTACTCAAGCTTTCTGCACCTGAAAAGGACCAAGTTGATGTGAAGAGGGTTCTGCTGCTTCTTGAGAATAATCATTCTACCCACAGAATGAGGAACTGAAGACCAGGCTTTGTGCCCTGCAGAAAAAGTACGATGCTAGCCAAGATGAGCAGAACGAGCTCCTGAAGGTGCATGTGCAACTTCAGGCTGAGCTCCAACAGCTCACACTCATGAAACCCACAATCACGGAGAGCCAAAGTGAAAAGGTAACAGCACCAGTGGTGAGGGAACAATCAAAGTGCTATAAGCACCAGTCTGGGGTTCTGGGGGAGGTAAATAAGAGTAGAGTTTAAAATAGCTCCAGCCACCACCTAGGCAGCTCCACAAGTCAGGAATCTCACATTGGGTGTGATGTGGCACACACCTGTAATCCCAGCACTTGGATGGCTGAGGCTGGAGGACTGTTCCAAGTTCAAGGTCAGCCTAGACTCCATAGTGAGCTCAAGGCCAACCTGAACTATATAGTGGGCCCCAGTCTCAAGAAAACAAAATAATAAAGAACCTCAGCCATCCCCCACCCTGCCCCAGCTGCCTTAGATGAGAAGATAAGGGGCAAGCAAGGGGAAGGACAAGTAAATCTCTAGCCCAGCAGTGACAGAGAACAAGTTGAGCAGAAGAGTGGAGTGACAGGACAGCAGCCCTACTCTAAGCCCCTGCATGCAGGAGTTACTATGCCGGCTCCAGAAGCTGCAGATCCAGCACCAGAACATCGTGTGTGAGAAGGAGAAGCTGCTAGAGGTGCAGTGTCAGCTCCAGGAGAAGCTGCAGTGCCATGAGGCAGAGCTGCAGTGCCTGCGGGACCTGGTGGCCTCCTTGCGGGAGTCTGATGAGAAGGTAAAAGGAGGGCCAGGTGAGGGAGATTGTGGCCAGGCAGGATTTCTGTAAAGGTGAGCACAGAGTGGGTCTAGTGGGAGTTTTGTAGAGGAGTTGCTGGTGAGGAGACCAAAGAAGTGCACGTAGAATAATTGACCTCCAGGAGTTATGATGCTCAAAGCTTCCTTAATTTTAAGTCAGAAAATTAGTCTATAAAGGAAAGCCCTTACTCCTTCCCTACCTCCCAAAAAAGGGAAGCTCTACAATATCTGGATTTTGAGCCTGTTAGAGACAGGTCCATCTTGTGTCTCCCCTGGTGTGACAAAATAAAGGCTGGAAAGGGCAGGGAGGACAGATCCCTGATTCCCTACTGAGAAGAGCAGTAACAGCAGCAGGGTTCCCTGGAGTGAGGGCCAGGCCTGCCTCCTCTGCGCAGAATGCCAAGGTGCACGCGCAGCTCCGGGAGATGAAGCGGCTGTATGAGGCCAGCAAGGAGGAGCTAGAGCGCCAGAAGCACATGTACGACCAGCTCGGGCAGGACCTTCGGCTGCACCAGATGGAACTCGAACAGCTCAAGACCCCCCAGCCCTCTCCTGAGCAGAAGGAAGCCTGTGCCAACAAGGTAATTATAGAGCAGAGCAACAAGCACTTCCGGCACTTGCTGTAGAGAAGGGAGGGGCAGAGCAAGAGGCAAACTCATCCAACCAAAGGTGGGAGAAGGCAGGGCCATTTGCTGCTGACCCTCAGTTTGCCTGGGTCTTGACTTTGAGCCAGAGCCACAGTGGGACCAGCATGTGCCCAGTGTGCACACTGGACTGATTCCATGTGATTCCATGTGGGTAGATGTTTGCAATCATATTACTACTGGAGTAGTATCTGGTCATTCATGGAGAGGCACATAGATGTAGGCTCCTTTAGGACATAGATGTAGGAACTGTTATTGTTGGAACCAGAAAAGAGTGGGGCTAGTCTTCTGGTCTTCTGAGGCAGACTGTATGTGTTCTTTTTATGTGCCCAAGAGAGCTGACTATTAGAAGGACCTAGGTCTGTGATGGCAAACATTTTAGAGATTTCAGTGGTACAAACACCCCTCTGTGGCATGCGTGCCATAGGTTCGCCACCACCAGTGGGCTCTTCCGGGACTTACTCTGTGACTTGGAGTAAATTCTCTAGACTTACCCTCTTCAGAATGAATAGAATGCTCCTTTAACCTCATATCCCTTTAGTAATGAATCTTCTTTTTTTTTTTTTTGGCACGGAACCAGGGATTGAACTGAGGCCCTTGCACTTGCCAGACAAGCACTTATTCTACTGAGCCAACTCCCCGGCCCAGTAATGAATCCTGATAGTGATAGGTAAAACCTTGTTCACCTCTCCTGCTGAGAATTTTCAGGCTGATTACTGGTAGAAAATGGGCAGGTGTTGAAGCATGTTGGAGAAGAAGCACAAGAGTACCAGGAGGTGATAGTGGTGGCCATACTCTGTTAGAATATTCAGTAGCTCCTGCCTTTCCCAACAGTAGGCTGGGTGGGTAGGGAAAGGCCTTCAGGAGATAGAGGATTGAAAAGACTATAATCTACCTGCCTTTCTGTGCCAGACTCACGTTTCCCCCTTTCTCCACTCCTACTCAGTTTAGGGGTTCTGGGGATCTTGGACTTGCCCATGACCTCTTCTTCTAGTGGAACATCTATAGAAAAGGAGAAGAAACAAGAGAAGCATAGTGGATACTAAGCCAGCCTTTTCTCTGGTCATAGAACAGGACTGAAATTCATTTGATATTAGAAGACTTAGTTTCTGAAATTGTAGGATAATTTAATTTTAACCCAAATTCAGCAATAGTGCATAATTTATAAAGGTTTTAAGAGATGATTAGGAAAACAAAAATGAGAAATATTAGAGTGAAATTAAGTCTTTATGGGTTTTGGTTTTTTGGTTTTTTGGTTTTTTTGTGGAACCAGGGATTGAACTCAGAACCTTGCACTTGCCAGGGAAGCGCTTATTCCACTGAGCCATCTACCTGTCCCCTAAGTCTTTATTGGGAAGGAGCATAGTTCAATCTAAAAACAATTGCCAATGATGAGAGTAGCCTCCAAAAGAGAAGTGGCTTGAAGCTAGAGTTCCTGCAGAGTGAGAAGACAGCACACCAAAGAAAAGGCCAGAGAAAGTAAGGCAGGGAGAAGGGAGGGACAATGATAGTACTCCCTCTCGAATGACCCTTCAAAGGATCTGGCAGGGACAACTCAGAATTCAGCCACTGACAGTCCTAGCACCTGGTGGGGCTCCTGCTTAGCAAGGAGGCCTGGACTGCAGGTGATGATCAGTCCAAGGTAACTGGATGGGGAGGGAGACCCTGGGAGTCACAGGAGGCAAGAGCATACACTTGCAGAACAAGTGCTGCACCACCACTACCATCCCTCCTCAAAAGTACCTTTCTGGCTGAGCGTGGTAGCACATGCCTGTGATCCCAGCACTTGGGAAGCTGAGGCAGGAGGACCTTTGAGAGTTCCAGACCAGCCTGAATTACAAAGTGTGCTCAAGGCCAAGCTGAATGGCATAATGAGTCCCTGTCTCAAAACAGACCAAAAGGAGAGAGAGAGAGAGAGAGAGAGAGAGAGAGAGAGAGAGAGAGAGAGAGAGAGAGAGAAAGGTACCTTACAGAGTGACCACACCCTGCTGCCCCACCCCACAGTGTGATACACTGCTGTCCAGGCTGACAGAACTGCAGGACAAGTTCAAGGCCAGCCAGAAAGAGATGGGGCAGTTGCAGATGGAGCAGTGTGAGCTCCTGGAGGACCAGAGGCGGCTGCAGGAGGAGCAGGGCCAGCTACAGGAGGAGCTGCACCGGCTCACATTCCCACTGCCCAAATGTGGCCTCTTCCGTAAGGTACCCATAGCCAGCACATAGCCCCCGGCCTCAGAGAGGCTACTTTGAGAAGCTGCCCAGGTGTGCCTGTGCCTGGAAGACTAAAAGGGTAGGAATCAAACGTTTTCCTTTCTTGGTTAATGATTCCTTCCTTTCCCATAAATCTCCCACACCTAACAGCTCCACAGAGCTGATTCAGGTTTTTCCTCCTAATGGCATTAAATCTTTTTTTTTTTAAGGGCTTTAAATCTTAAAATATATTTCATACTCTGGAATCTTTACAGCATTTTATATTTAGATATTTAGCCCATCTGGAGGAAATGCACCTAAAAACATTTTGTAAATTACAAAATACATCCAGAGATCCCAGAGATCATTGCTACTTAACTAGCAGCTCTCTGTAGGAAGACCCTTGTCCCCAAAAGGGCTGTGCAAAGAAGCCAGAGATTTAGAGGGACAGTGCCCACCAGTGATGTGGCACAGGAGAGGTCTGGAGCTTTCCCTTTAACTGCTATTCCTCCTTCCTCTTCCCCGCACTGTACTCAGAGTCAGGAGCTGCTTACAAAGTTACAAGACCTGTGGGACCTACAAGTGCTCTACCAAGGCATGCAGGAGGAACAGAGAAAACTGATGCAGAACCAAGAGTGTGTATTAAAGGAACAAATAGAGGCACACAAGTTGCTGCGAGGCTTCAAAGAGTCTCGTTTCCAGGAAGTGTTGGTGAATCCTGAGGATGCCAAACAGCATAAGTCCACAAATAGTGAGAAAAAGGTAACCAGAGCGAGAAGCAGGGATCTTGTTCTCCCAAGCATGGCAGTACTGCGGGGAATGGTGGCTCCACAGAGGAGTCAGAGTTAGGAAGACTTGTTAGGTCATGAGGCAGGGAAAAGTCAAAGACCAGTCCTTCACCAGCCAGTACCATCATGGGGTCCCTTAGGGTGTGGCCTTAGATGCACTGAGGACCTCACCCAGAGGCAAAGCACCTGCTGCACTGTGAACTCTTACCACAGAGCCGGGATGATCTGGAAGTCTGTAATCTGATCACTACATTCAATCCCACTGACATATCATTTTCAAGAGATCTAATACCAGTTTAGTGTTATAGATTTCTTTGGACTGACTCTAAATGTAACATTCTTTTCCAATGAGATAGGAAGTATGTTTCTTACCTTTTAATGCTCTATATGAGGCAAATCTGGGTCCATTCATCTCCCAGGGAGATGTGTGTTCTAGCATATCCTACCACACTGACCCACTAGCTACATTAGAACAGTGGTGGCAGTACCAGCCAGGCCAGGGTATTTGACCATGTGTCTCAAGGACTACCACGAAGTCATGCATATGAGATGTCAGAGGCAGAAATTTTAATACAAGTCTACTCAGATTTAGGAGTGGGGAAAATTTGTTGTGGATTCCGTGTAAGCAAGGAAGAGCAGGTAGACAGTTTCAATGTACTGTATATAACTTGTTTGTTTGGATATTAATGTGAACAAGGACAACCAAGCAATAGCAGAAGCCTAAGATGAGCCTCGGTCATATTCCAGGGGCATCAGATATCCAGGCTCAAAGTCTGGGTAACATAGAGACGGGGCACCAGGTATAAGATATTTCCTTAACTGATCAGATCTCATCCTGAGCAGCAGCAGCCAAAAAGGCAGGCCCAGAGGCCTGGGAAACATGCCCATGAGCCAGATTCACAATCTGGGCAGGAGTTACAGGGACCAGTGATAATAAAACCTTGATTGTGAACCTGCATCTTCCCTGGAAAAAGTTCTTTGTATGCCCACATTCAAGGTTGGGACTAATTTTAGCTTTAGGGGCAGGAGAAAGGACTGAGCCTAAAGACCTGGGTAATGGGAGAGAGGAAGAGAGTAGGTCAGAGAGCCAGGGTCTTATTGAGACCCACCCTGCATTGCTCCAAGAAAAGAGAGATGTGCCAGAGCACGGAAATAGGAGCCCTGAAATCATGGCATATTTGCCCTGGGCAGACTGTCCCAAATGAACAGGAAGCTGACCCATTCCCATTCCTGTAGGCTAAGTCAAAGACAGACCCAGTAAGACTGAGGCACAGGTGTACGCACACAGGTATCTGCCCACAAGACGGGCAGTTTGGTGAGCTGAAATGTCTTAGGATAATGGCTATATCTTCCACCCCCACCTCCAGCAGTCCAAGCAGCTTCTGGGGCAGCTGCGGGTTGTGCAGGAGCTGTATGTCGCCAGCCAAAAGGAACAGGAACTGCTGCAACAGGAGCATGGGCGGCTCCTTGAGGAGCGGAAGAGACTACAGGCTGATTTACAGCTCTGTCTGGAAGAAATGCAGCTGCTCCAAACGCAGTCCCCCTGTATCAAAAGGAGTCTTCAGTCCAACAAGGAGAACTCTGCCAGCAGTGAGAACTTCCACAGGAGTTATGGCAGCACCATTGATGATGAGAGCTTTCACAAGAGTTACGTTAGCACCCAGGCCAGCAGTGAGGGCTTCCTCAGGAGCTATGACAGCACCACTTCTGGTGAGACCTTTGAGAAGAGTTACTGCTCCAGCAACAGCAGCGTCACCTATAAGAAGAGCTATGGCAGCCCCAGCAGCTCCGATATCTGTCCTAAGAGTTATGTCAGCAGCAGTGCTGACCAGGACCCAGCTGAGCCTAAAGACTTAGAGGTAACCATCCCAGGTGGTAGGTCACGTAAGGGAAGATGGGATCTTGTCTTTAAGAGAAACCACTAGATGGGCGGGCCAAATAGCTCAGCAGGGGTTGGGAGTTTGGTTGGGCCTGCCCTTCTGGGCCCCGCCCCCTGGGCACATTGAGTTGGCAATTGAGACTGGGCATGGTGGCGGAGGGCCTGTAATTCTAGCTCTTGGGAGACTATAAACAGGTGGGTTACTACGAGTCCAATCTAGTAGTGAGACCCTGAACACCCTGTAGACCCTTCCCTTAAAAATACAAAAGAAAAAAAAAAGAGAGAAACCACTAGAGGAGGGGCATAGGAGTGAGATGGGAATTTGGTCAGAGCTGACCTGGGGAACTTCCAGAAGTGAGTGTGACTTCTCCCCACAGCAGCCTTGTTCTCCTCAGTCTCTCTCCCACAGAATGAGGCTTATGACTGAGAGGTATAATCACAGACAAGGTATTCTTTATGGGGAGAAATAGTGTCCCCTCAGCAGCTTCAGATCCTGGTGGTCACTGGTTTCCAGAGTGTGGCCTAGCACAGTGTGGGGCAGAGGTCAGGCACTTGTTGAGGTGCTGTCATCGCTCCTAACCCTCCACAGCACTTTGAGGAGACAGTGGCCAAGGTGCTGACCAAGCTGCAGGCGGTACAGGCCCTGTACCAGGTGAGCCAGGAGGAGCACTGCCAGCTGCAAGAGCGGATGAACAAGCTTCTGGACAGGCAGAGAGAGCTGAGGGAAGAGATCGATGGCTGCGAAAAGGAATTCCAGGAGTGTGTGGAAAGCCTTGAGAAGCCCGCAGCAGCCCCCAACGATAAGAATGAGGTAACTCCCGGCAGGGAGGCAGAGTTTCGCCCCAAGCCAGAGATGATGGCCATTTCTGAGACCAAAGGCAGAGGGGCAGAGCAGGGACACTGAATCCCAGCAGGCTAAGCACTCACTGTAGCTGATGGGCAGTGCTTAGGCTGAAGGACATTTCTCAAGTGTTCACTGCTGGGAGTCACTGGTCATTCCAACTTCTCTCTTGGAATTATTTTCTTCTTTCCTTTGCCACTTTTGTGGTCTATTTTACCTCGTGTCCTAGAGCACTTCGGCAGAGCTATATTTTTCACTTGACAACTTTCTTTTGTTATTTTATACGCTTTTTATCTCATGATCCTCCTGGCTTGGACTCCAGAGTTACAGGCATGTGCCACCATCCCTTCTTTTGTGTCTCTCTTAATGTCAGGAGTGCTCTGTATCCACTAGGAAGAGGGCAGAAGGCACTGCCTCTATCCTGCAGTGATTCATAATGGAGGAGGTCACTGTATGCACCTGGGAAAGATCCAGAGTGTTGACTGCAGGGCCCTCAACTGATTAGTACCCACCAAGTAGATCATGACAGTCTGCCAGTGGTCAAGGAACATAAAATCCGAGGTTAAGGAGCAGGGCTGTAGCTTGCTTCTCTTGCCAGGAGTACAGGCACCCAGTCACTCTTAAGGCTTGGACGGCACTTACTTGAGTAGCTGTGCCTATTAGAGAAATGGGTTTGGTAAAGTCAGAATTCCTGTTAGAATAATTATATAATGAATCTCTGAGATTTGGAAGTAGTAACAGCCTTATAGTTATTCCTAAAATAGGTCCTGGCTTTGAAAAAAAAATCATATATATATATATATATATATATATATATATATATATATTCATCATTTGATCATGTTAGATGATATAAATATCATTAGATATAAATCTTAGATGCCTCAAGTTAGAGAAAAGTTATTTATAAAACTATTTAAGAGGCTTGTTTTCCACAGCTTTATGTTTTCTCTATTGTCTGCCCACCATGGACTGTTTATCAGGGATATTTCTGAAGCAGTAACCCAAAGTAGGGCCAGGCTGACTGAATGAGCCCAGCTCTGGGTAACTGGCCCCCATTACCAACAGATCAAAGAACTGCAGACCAAGCTGCGGGAGCTGCAGCTTCAATACCAGGCGAGCATGGATGAGCAGGGACGGCTCCTGGCAGTACAGGAGCACCTGGAAGGGCAGCTACAGTGCTGCCAGGAAGAGCTCCGCCAGCTCAGAGAGAAGAAGCCCTCTTCTGGCAAAGAGGCCAGGGGAAAGAACTGCAATAAGAACACAAACAAGAATGCCAATGGGACTAAAAAGAAACAGGTGACCAAGCCATGCACTCATAGTTCTAAGGGCGACTTAGAGACCAAAAAGGTGAGTGACAGCTTTAGCAGCCAGAGAGGAGGCTAGAGGAGCCCTGGCAAGAAAAATCATTTCTACCCACCATTTCTCCCAGGTGAAGTGTTTATAAGAACATTTTTGAGACAAATTCATCTCAGGAAAAAGTTGGGAGCTATGAGAAAAGTGGATACAGCCTCTAGGCTGAACTTACATTGACCCAGCCCCATTTTGGGGACCCTGTTCTTCTTGAATTATATACCCAAAAGAAGGACCAACAAGATAAAGAAGTAAAAAGTAGTTATGTACTAGTAAGTGAAAGAGGATTGGTGTGATCAGAGTCACCATGAGGGGTGGGAAGCAAGAACTGACATGCGGAGACCAAGAGTCTTTATCCCTGGTAGCTGTTTGAAATGGCTTAGTCTCCAAGTAGATGTATTGGTACCAAGAGGGCACATTATACTTGGGAAGATTGATGTACAGTCCCAGAATTCAGATCTGTACCCTAGCACAGCAACATGCTTCAAACAGATGGGGGAGCTAGTACAGCTCTGTCAGGAGAGTGGATTCTTCCCAGGTAACAGCAGCCCCCATTCTGCCCTGCCTCCACCCCACAGAGTCTGGAGGTTGTGCTGTACTACAAGGCCAGCCAGGAGCAATTAGATGAGCTAGGAAAAGAGGAACAAAAGAAAGAGGAAGTAGAAGAAACAATGAAGGAAGAAACAAAGGAGCCCTGGGATGAACTAGTTGCTGAGCCAGCAGACCCCAAGGCAGTTAAGTCAACACAAGATCAAGAGGAAGAATATGGAGAGTACAAAGAACAGGAAGATAAGGAAGAAGACAATGAAGATGAGGATGACTCTTCCTCTGAAACTGCTGAGGAAAATCCCCTTAAAATTTCTGAGAGCAAAAAGGTAACCATTGCCAGAGGCTGGATCAGTTGGGAAATGGGCCAGGCGTGGTGGCACTCACCCATAATCCTAGCACTCTGGAGGCAGGAGGATGTCTCTGAGTTCAAGGCTAGCCTTGGGCTACATAGTGAGTTCAAAACCAGCCTGAACTAGTGGGACCCTGTCTCAAAAATAAAATAAATTGGGAAATGGGCCTTGGACATAGGCACATTAGTGTTCAGGGCTGGTGCTATCAAGGGTGGATGAACTTCAGGAGAGGCCAGTGAGCATATAAGGTAGGGCTCTTGGGGAATATGGAAATGGAGAAGGAGTTGGATGGACAGAACAGTCTCTAAATGAAACAGCCTTAGACAGATTTGCTGTTACCATCTCACAATGACCACTTCTCTAGACTGGGATCTTTGTAGCAGTGGCCTTTCATTTACCTGGTGGCCCTTATTACCTTCTTCTGTCAGGAGGGTTTTCCTACCCCTTTCCTTGGCACTGCACAAAGACCTTAACAGTGTGAAGCCATCTTCAGGGCATTTCTGTCAGTCTGGGAAAGTGAAGTGACTCAACGCTATTTTCCCATGGTACCCTATTTAACCTTTGTCATTGCTGTTAGGGATGTGGGGCAGGGGTAATCTTTTCCTTGTAGGCTTGTATCACCTGCTGGGTTCTGTTGTCATAAGGCATGAGGGTGGGGGATAGGGGTGACAGGAGCAGTGGTCAGAATTTCCATCTTCATGGTAGGAGCATTGCCTAGTCCATGGCCAGCCATAGCCCTGTCCATGTAGTTGCTGGATCTTTCAAAGATTGCAGTAAAGTCTCTTGGGGGATATTCCAGGATGGTAGGAGTCATTTACCAGCTGCCTAGACACTTTGGTATCAACTTGAGGTTAACTGGGGTCTCTGGAATTTGAATACTTCCTGAGTATATCCTCATTTACAGTATAGGTCTTTCCTATTCCCCTCAGTAGGGGAATGGATAAGCCTGTTGTGGGATTATCCAGTCAACTTTAAGAATATCTGGGATTTTCAGTCTGAGCATTGGCTGAGGATCCCATATAGAGTTCTCTGTTAAACTTGTGACAGAGGACCAGTACTCGCAATGTAAAGAGAGCAACTAAACCCTTCAATGCCATTTATTTTTGATCTCTCTCTTACCATCATATGCTGATCAGGGCCTCATAGTTTTCTTGACCTTTGGTACTACATTTCTAAAGTCAGACCTGATTTTTGCATTTAAAGACAAAGTCCAGTGATGGAAAATCTTTTGGAGCTTTCAGTGGCAACAAACAGTGTGCTGCAGCACACGTACCATAGATCTGCTGCCACTGAGTTCATTCTGTGTCCTTTTAGCCCAGTGTGTCCCCTGTCTTTTGCAGGCAGCTCAGCTGGCTTAGCTACAGATTCAGTTTCTCTCTGGAATATTGCAGCCTGAGAACTAGCCTTTCCCCATGGTTAGCTTGTACATTTGGTTTCACAAAGCATCAGACTTCTAGAGTATCTGATTCCAAAATACCAAATACCAGAGCTCAAAATACCAAGTAACTTGATGGATAATAAATCAAGCAGATGGCCTGACCAAAGCCTGGCTTCATGGAGTGATTCAGGAAAAGTACCCATTCCTGTAAGGAAGTCCAGTTAACCTCTGGACCTTCACTTTTCCCACCCACAAGAAAAGTTGAGATGCAGATAATTCTTGTTTCACAAGTTATAAGAGTTATATGACAGGATAGGAAACTGGCCTCACTACCGGACTTGGACCTGTCCACTGCTTAACATGTTGATTTTTGCAGCTTCTGCAGGCTTCCAGTGGGAAGACTCCTCTCCTCTCCTCCAGGCCCAGGGAGCAGAGAAGAAAGGCTACTGTTCTAACTTACTTGGTTTTTAACGTCTTGATTCTTTTTCTTTTCCCTTTGTTTTCTCATCTTCATTATCTGTTGGACTCACGTGTTTACATCTTTTCATATCACCTCCCATCTCCTGGTCTTTCCTCATGCTTCTTTCTCATTTGACATGTTGCAGCCATCCCCTGTCCCCGATCCCCCCATCTTCTCCTTGCCTCTTGTAGGCCTGGTGGTCATATCGGCTCTGCTCTGGTGCTGGTGGGCTGAGACGTCGTCCTAACGCAGGTACAGGTATGGCTTCCTCTCCTCTGTTCTCCCTCAGCTGCTTGCTCCTTACCTTTGCCATTGTGCAGTAGAGTAGGCAATGCTCAGGACTCAGTTGTGGCCTTGTCTTCCTCAGGCTCCTGCAGAGCCTGTAACCTCTGAAGCATGTCTTTGTGATGCATGTGATTCACAAGGAGCTGGAATGCTTATGAGAAGTGTGGTTTGAGTTTCTGCTCTTGGCTGGGAAAATCTTGGATAGCCTCAGCAGTATTGCTACTGTCAAAACTGCCTGACCTTTTCTGATATCTGTCTCAAGGTTGGCCTGGTCTCTCTTTGTCTTTAACTCCAGAGCCAAGCTGTTACCTTGCCTCTACACAGGAAGGCAAAATGAGGAATCACTCCCTCTTCTGGTGGGAGAGAGAGAAAGTAGAATTATGATCCTTCTGAGCCTCCTAGGGGCATTTGAATGAGAGCAGCCTAAACTGGTCCTTCAATCTTGATGAAACAGAATAGAACACCTATTCTATTATGTACTTTTTCCTGAAAAATTCTCTAGTTGGGACTTCTGGTCTCCACAAAAATTAGAATAAAATATCAGGAAATATTTTATAGTTCTCTGTTTATCCCTTTTGGGAGTCAGATCCCAATGTGAGTGGCTTCCCAAGAGAGAATGTGGTATTGATGAAAAATTTGCAATGGCTGGACATGTAGGTGTTCTTTCTGGCACCTCCCAGTTAGCCTTAGTTCATTTAATGTGATCTGTCAGCAGACACCGATTCAAGAGGCAGATTATGGTATTTTAGCTAAGGCAGAACCTGGGGGTTCCACGTGCCTTCTGGAACTTAAAGCTATTCTCTTTTGTCCTATTTTGGGTCCAGTCTCATGCTTTCCTTGCTACTAACCCTCACCTGTCTTTTCTTATGTTCTCATAAGTGAAATATAATTGGCTTTGTGCTAGTTTAGAGGTAGCCAAAATGTTTGTTGATGGCACCTCTTACTTCCTGTCCTTCCTTTGCATTCCTCCTCACTTCCCCTGCTTTTTAGCCCTTTGATATCTTTGGACATTCCAGTTTGCTCCTATGACAACCTTTGGCTCCTTCAGTGACCAGGGTGTCTCCTGACACCTACTCCTCCCCTGAACACCTCCAGTGTCTTGAGTGCCAGTGGGACAAGACCCAAAGCACTCAGTTACATGTTGCCAACTCCAAACTGCCAGGCCTCATCAGAGTGAGAGGAAGGAACTGCTAGCTAGGGGACCTCTTGGGAGAGCCTGTTATTCCCAGAGCTCTGGCTTAGCCCCAGTGTATAGCTCCTATCCAAGACTGAAGCAGCTAAGTATAGTAAAAAGTGTGGCTGACAGGTGGAGAGAACTTGTTTGAGTCTGTCCTTGCTTACAGGCTTTTTCTGGCAAAGCAAAATGCCTTATGTGGTACATGTACCAACTCCCCATGATGAACGCAATCAATATGCACTACAAAATAAAAATAAAGATGCCTCATCTGAACTTTAGTTTCTTCAGATGTGAACAAAAGATGATTAAGCTCTGTCTTCCTCACAGGGGTTCTGTAAGGATCAGATGAGCTAGTGCATATAAAGTACTTTATAGATCATAAAATGCTATGTCAATAACAAAAAGAGCACACACATATGGTGCAGTGTGTCCTGTATGCCAGGCACTGCTCTAATCCCTTTATATATATTAGCTAATCTTTACAGCAACTCTGTGAGGAAGCTCTCACTATTATTTCTACATGATAAAACTGTGATATAGAGAGAGCTGAGTACAGCGAAGAAATTGGTACTCAGATTATAAGGGCTTAATATTAGCAACAGATACCATCCTAATCCTATTGTCTTTCCTTGTTCTGAGCACTTTTCCTTGGTTGACCGCCCATTCCAAGCAATTAGGAAGTTACCGTACTTCTGTTTATCCAATCTGCAGTCTCATTAGCTCTTTTAGTATTTAATATCCTATCATTCATTTACCTTGTCATTTGTGCATGTTGCTCACACTTAGCATTCTCTCCCTGCTCTATACCAGAGTTTTATTTTGGGGAGTCCAAAGGCAGAATTTTCCATTCCTTCTTATTAAGCATAGTCCATGGTCTAAACCTGTGAACTTTCATGGAACTTCTGGTTTTGTGTTATCTAAGCCTATGATTTTAAAACATTTTCTTTCCCTGCAGCTTCACACTATCCTCGGGATGATAAACCCACTTTCCATATCTATATCCAAGTTACAAGTGACAGTTCTCACTTGTCATCAGCTCATGAGACAGCTCATGAGACAGGGTTTCATTCACCATGAAGTTCAGGCTGGCCTTGAACTCGCTTTGTTGCCCAGACTGGCCTTGAACTCACAGTGATCCTCCTGCCTCAGCCTCCCAAGTGCTGGGATTACAGGCGTGCACCACCATACCTGGCACCATGATTTTTTTGATCTGTCTTTTTAGTAACACAGTCTAAAAAGAAGGTAGTTTCTAAAGCCTGATTCTTCCCCCTGTTGGGACGCCCAAACCATCCCTTTACACATTCAATCCAGTGTAAAGTGCACCAGTTCACTTTTTTGGATTTCAACACTTTCCTCCTTTAAGAGCATCAGACTGACATTTTTAGCAACGCTCATTAGGATATAAATATCTGAGCACGTAAACATTTTTTGCAGCCTCCTCAGTTATTTTCTCACATAAATTCTTCTGTATATTATTTTGCTTTCCATTCCTATTCTCCTTAATACCTATTTCTACAAATTTAGGAGACTTTCTTTGCTTTTTATAAAAGCTGGCTTAAAATCCTCTTTTTATGTCAGTTATCCTGTGATCAAATGTGTTCTTAGATTTAATGGCCTCTATTCTACCTTTATCTGAGACTATTCCTCTATAACTTTGCTATAGCTCCTTGGCTCAAAATCTAGATTTCATCTTTCAAATGATACAGTTTTTTAAAAAGTAACAAAAATATTAACTATTTCCTCAAGGATGAGTTTTCTTGTTCAAGATTCCAGTATTTCCTAGAAGGTGCTTTTTTGGGTCCCTGGATGGTATTATTTGTTGTCCATGCATCAGCAGGCTTAGCCAGGGGCCAGCAGTGGCTAGAGGCCTCACTCTCCTCCAGTATATGCACTAGAAAGTGAGGCCACACACTTGGTGATGGAGGGTGGTTTAATGACTGACATTTGCCTTCCACAGCCAGCAATAGGTTCCCTTGAATTTTCCTAGAACCAACATCATTCTGTGCAAAAAGTTGGGTTACCTAGGATCCTCTTATTTTCCTGTACTCCACAGTAACCTCTTACTCCTAGTCTCTTTCCTTCCTCTTAACTCTGAATTCACTTGTCCTCCACAAAGCCCATAAGGTGCTTCCACTCTTCCCAAAGGCCTAGCTTTACCCTATGCTTTCTTGCTATGACTCCTCACCTTCCTGCTGCATGTACCTGGAGAATCTTCAGGCTGGCCCTTGAGTTTACTTCAACACAGGAGCTGGCATTCTCATCCCACGGGGATAACTGGAGGCATGAACACAGGCATCACTTGACATAATGTGCACCATGTCACGCCTTGTATCTGTGGTGCCGGAATGAGCAGACCACATGATCTCCACCAGTTACCAGGAGATGAGAGGCTGAGCCCTGCTGTTCTTGAGGTGTCCCTCTCCGGCGCCACCAGGCAGGTGATTTCTGGATTAGGGAAGGGTTCAGAAGTCTGGGCATTCACCATTTCTCTTTGGTCCCCACAGAACATGTCTGGGATGTGGAAGCCTATGGTATTCTTGGCTATTGCAGCTGTGGCTCTGTATGTGTTACCCAACATGCGACCGCAGGAGACAGAGTCCTGGGCCAGCTGAGAGGGCAGATGCCCAGCAGCTACCACCCTCACCTTTGGGCAGGACACACTGTGCAGAGCCCCCACCCCACCTGTGTATCCTATGTGTCCCCAGTTACTCCTTAGCCTCAGTCACTCAGGCTGGAAAGGCTCATGGGAGCTGCTGGCTCTTGCTGGCTCCCATTTCCTGCCTTGTATAAGAACCTGGGTTCCTTGTAATTAAATATCAACCAAATTACATGAGACTTTGTGGCTTTTTATTTATTAGATGCTTCACACAAAACAGAACAGAGTAGTTTCAACTAAATACTTCACAAAAGCACCTGGCTCTTAAATACGATTTTTCACCCTACAGATGACCTCAGAAATGAGGCTGGTTCCCTGTGCTGCCAGCTGAAGTGCAGAAGGTTGATCTGTCCTTTTAACCCTATCGCAAGGAGCAGCTCTGAGCATGGAGAAATGGAAGGAACTGGGTACTGGGGGTGGGGGGTGGGGCAAAGGACCTCCCCCCAGGTTCTGTGCCCACGCACACCACCTATGTAAGGATGAATCACTGAAGATTGGCATGGGAGCCTTGGAGGCTTAGTCCTTGTGATTTGTCAAGGGATTCACTCAGAGATGACTTTAATCAGTCAAGGTCCTGGTAGTAAACAGGGCACTCAGAGCCTTAACTAAAGAACGGTTAATGAAGGGACTTTGTACAAAAGGCACAGTTAGGAGAACAGTAAGAATTTGTGAAGTGCCCAGGCCCTAGCAGCAGTGGAAAGCGTAACTACCCCTGGCTGGAGCCTGAGGGCAGGGAAGCAAGAGCTGGAACCCTGAACTCATGGACCCAGGCAGGAGTACCAGGCTGGAGCCATGAGGAGGCGGGAAGGCTCTTAGTCTCCTACCCTTCCTCAGTCTGCCAGCTTCCTAGTAATTAATCCCTGTCAGTGGCTAAACCCAGCTGTGAGCAGAGGTGTTCCTGGAACTCAGAGCAGTGGATCTAAGGAGACAGCAGGATGTCTAGGATGCTTCATGCATGTCCCTACTTATTTTTGTTCCTGTGGAGTTCTTTCTGATTCATTGTTCTCATCGTGGGAGAGACTTTGTATTCTTATGCCACAGTGCACAGAATGGACCCCATGACCACCTTGGGCCTCCTCTTTCTGCCTCACCAGTTGACAGCAAAGGATTTTGTCTCATTCAGCCAAGCAGCTAAAGAATACCGGGTATACTGTGGTCGCTAGGCCCTAAATGAATCCATTTCTTCCCCTAGCCCTTTCCTAAAGGGAAGTAGATGTTCCTAAATGGAACATTTAAATGAGGAACCTTTCATATTGTACATAGCCCAAAGAATTAACAAGGTTGAGTTCAGTAAAGCCCCTCAGCCTGAGGCCATACTGCCAGTGTGGCCAGCCTCTTCTAAGAACAGCTGCAACCAGTCAAACAGGCAGTCCCCTTTTACCTCTAAGTGACTTGTCTGTTTTGAGACAGGGTCTCAAGGCCATATGTAGTCCAAGATGGCCTTAAACTCACTTTGTAGCCCAAGGTACTCTCAACTCATGGCAATCCTGCCTTAGCCTTCCAAATTCTGGGATTATAAGCATGCACCATATCTAGCTATCAGTGAACCCTTGAGAATCATCCTTATTTAGAGTAGTCTAGCCCCATTGCTACCATGGAAACCAACGATGAAGTCTCAACATCTCTGGACTTAATGGAGTTTCAGCCTCCAGACACAGCAACTGCTTTGTAACACACCCAGCTGATTAGTAAGCTCAGTAGAACTTGGGAAGCACTGCCCTCAATCATTTTAAGGTGTATGTTCTTAGTTGAAACCTAATTAAAGTTCCTAGGGCTGGGGAGATGGCTCAGTAGAATAAGCCCTTCTCTAGCAAGCACAAGGGCCTGAGTTCAATCCCCGGTCCCCCCCACCCCCACCCCCCAAAAAAGAAATTCCTCACCAGCCCTGATGGTACAAGCCTGTAATCCCAGCATTTGGAAGGCTGAAGAAGGAGGTTTAAAGCCATCCTATATTACATAATAAGTTGAAGGCCAGCCTGGGATGTATAACAAGACCCTGTCTAAAAAAATAAAATAGAAATTCCTTCAAAGTTACCTAGTGCTAGTGGTCACTAGCTTTTCAGGTGGTGAGAACTTGCTTTTTATCTACTTTACCTTGTCATCAGTTGCCTGGAAAACATGTATCAGGAATGTGTGGGAGATTCCCAATAGCCCAGGACTATCGTCTGAATGTTTGTGTCCCTCAGCATTCATATTGCAACCCTAGACCCCATTAGGAGGGCACAGTCTTCATGAGTGGGGTTAGTACCTTTAATAGAAGAGTCCAGAAAGATCTGTCAGCCCTCCTGCAATGAATGGTCCAGGGCGACCATGGAGGAAGGGGCACCTCACCAGACAAGGAACCTCCTTGATCTTGGACTTCGGCAGCCAGCAGAGCTGTGAGAAATAAATTTCTGCTGTTTGTAAGCCATCTAGTTTGTGATATTTTGTTACAGCAGCTCAGACAGAGACAAAGGATCATGGATTCAACATGGAATTAGACACCAAGATGGAGGCCAAGTTTGTCTCGTCATGGGGCCTGAACTTAAAGCCTCAGTAATGAGAGGAGCGTGGGCCTGCCTTTCCCAGCCTTCTGCTCAGAATACATAGCTTTTCCCTGTAGAAGACTTGTCCCTCATTTTAGAATCTCTTCCTCTTTGTTTGGCTTGAGTTGGTGCTTCCTTGTTGATCCAGATTAGTATCAAACTTGTAAAAAGGTCTGTTTTATTAAATGTAAAACATTCACTAACTTTAAAAGTGGAGAAGTCATTGATTCTAAGCCTACAGCAATATGTCTTAGAAATCATAGATAGGGCTGGATAGATAGCTCAGTGGTCTAAGCTCCTGCCCGGCAAGCATAGGACCTGGGTTCGATTCCTTGCACTTTGTACTATGCTGGCCCCAGAACCTCGGGTGTGCTATGCTGGTGACCAAAACCGGGTGTGGTGATGCACACTTGTAATCCCAGTGCTGAGGAGGCTAAGACAGGAGGACCACTATGTGTCCGAGCTGCATAGCAAGAAAAATCTCTATGTAATAGAGATTTAAACAATTCTCTATACCAAATAAAATAAAAGGTCAAAAAAATAGAAGTCAGGGCTGGGGAGATGGCTCAGTGGAATAAACGCTTCCCTGGCAAGCACAAGGGCCTGAGTTCAATCCCCAGTTCCACAAAAAAAAAAAAAAAAATAGAAGTCATAGGTATGTACCCCAGCTTAGGTACAGCAAGCACCGAGGACCCCAGACTCCCTCAGGAGCCTCCATCTCTCCTAGTTATTGCTCTCTGCAAAACTGCCTGCTTTCTACCCTCTCTCTGTAGTCTGGGTCCCTCTATTGTCCCTGCCCAACCCTCCACCTGCCACTTCAAGGACCAGCTGCTGTTGGGGGAAGGGTGAGAGGTTCTAAAAATCACCATACCACTGGTTCTGATTCTGACAGAGCTTTAGGATGTAGGGAAGGAACAAAAGGATCAGCATGGAGATCCAGGCAATGGATTTACAGGGCTCTGACTCTGGACACAGCTGCAGGGAAGGCCTTACTCCCCAGAACTCACTAAGGACCCCAGACCAGCAGAGGAAGCTAATTTTTCCATTCCCTGCTAGACACCAGGTACCATGCTAGTCATCTTTCCTATATTTCTCCTTGTATTTGTTTAAATCTCTATTAAATAGAGGTTTTATTTATTTATTTATTTATTTATTTTTTTTTCAGAACTGGGGATTGAACTCAGGCCCTTGCGCTTGCCAGGGAAGCACTTATTCCACTGAGCCATCTCCCGGCCCTGATCTATTAAGAATATTAACCCCATTTTATACATGAAAAAATGGAGGCCCAAAAGAATTATGTAACCTGTCCAAGGTGACAGAACTAGAAGTGGAATGGCTGGAATTCAGCTTATGGCTCTTTCTACTCTACCACATTGTCCCTGGCACCCAGGTCAGGGCCACAGTTAATGTCACTGATTGTCAAAGTGCCTGCTGTAATTCTTGCCAGCCCAGAATTATCACAGGTAACTGTGGGAATGAATGTACCTGTCCCTGGTTTCAGGGGTGAAATATAAAATTCAAACATGGCCCATTGCACCTGTTCCGGCAGATTCAATTCAGCCCAGGTTAAGCATGGCTAACGTCAGTGGCTGTCTTGTTGGAAGAGGCAGCCCCAGGTGAAAGCCAGACAACCTGGTCTCCTGAGATAGGTCAGCGGGTGGTGAGTCAGGGGGCTATAAAAGGCCTGTAGGCCCAGCCAGTGCTGCCCCACATTCTCATCTGATGAAACCCCCTGAAAGCCCCTCTCTGTGCCCCTACCTGGCTTGCTGAGGAACACATTAGCTCTCCTCAGGGAGGGGGCCTCACTTGGCAGGCCCAAGACAGCATTGCGCACGGTCTGTTCTGGGCCTACATGGCCAGGCCTGGGCTCATGGGCTATATTGAGGGCTGAGTCACCAGCCTGTGCCGGGGTAGGCTGACTGACTGGCTGCTGGGGCCTGACTCAGGCCCCGATTTATCCTGGAGAGCAAGAGACTCAAGTTTCAGGAGTGGGGTGACAAGAACCATCATCCATTGGCACACTGCACCCTGTTCTGCTGGCCATTCATTGCTCCTCTGATGGCCACAGAGTGCTGCTGTCTCCTGGACTGAGATAGTGAGTCAAAGAGGGAGAGTGCAGGAAGCGGGTTTCCCTCTGAACACTCCCACTTCACCAGAGGTCTTGGACTATTGACTATGAACCATCAGGGTCTATAAAGGGGCTGTCAGCTCCAAGCTACCTGATTAGGCCCCTTTCTTCACTTGCTCAGTAGCTCATGGAAAGATCTATTCTTCTCTTTTCTCTTCTCTTCTGTTCTCTTCTCTTTCTTTCCTTTTTTTTTTTTTTTTGAGACAGGGACTCACTATGCAGTTTGGACTAGCCTTGAGCTCACTTTGTAGCCCAGACTGGGGAACTCACAACAAAGGGGAGGGATCTCTTCTCATAACTGTGCCTCAGTTTCTTCATCAAAGATTCAGTACAACACTATGGAACTCTGGGCTTTTGGTACCTGAGGCTAGCTGTTGCACAGCTGCCCTTACACACACACACACACACACACACACACACACACACACACACACAACTTCCCTGTGTGGCCCAGCCATGTGCCCCACACTGAGCATCTCTCCATGGGAGAGCTCAGCCTCTCAAGTAGACATCACTGGTGCTGATGGGTGGTTTTGGCCTTGGGTAAAGGTGGCTTGGGGAGAAGGAGTGTTCTAGAGACAAGGAAAGAGGGTTGCCAACAGGAGAGTGGAATTCCTGAGCACCTCGTCACAGGCAGCCGACAGAACATGAGCTGCAGAGCCCAAGCTATTTATACCTTGCCTGTCACAATCAGGGCCCCTGCCCCCCCCCCATGTACAGCAGTCCCTTTTCTGTTTCTGGTTCCTTCTCTACTCCTCCCCTTTCTCACCTAAAGACCAGGCAATCTCATTAAAAGAATACACCAGAAGGGAAAGAAGTGATTCACAGCCCCTCATCTGATAAGCAGAAAAGCACAAAATCCTTAAACATCTTTTTCAGTCCATGATGGGGATTACCCTCATTCTGTCCTTGAAGAATGAGTCCCCAAAGATGTCTACCATTCCCTTTCTTTCCTCCAGGCTTGAGAAAAGGAGAGAAGTAAAACAGAATGATTCACCTACAGAGTTCCAGAATCTTCCCAAACCTCAGTCAGCATGTGGCTTGAGTTGGGGGCTTGTCTGGCTTGAAGAAACTTCTCAGACTCAGACATGTTTCTTCCCCATTTGAGCTTACAAGCACTGAAAGGAAAGGGAAAAGATAGGAAACATGGGCTAGAGGAGTGATAGGGGATATGGAATACATGTATACTACACAAATACCAAATATATAGTCTTATGGCATGAACATATTCTGTAGCTCTTTTCTCCTCTCCCAGGCAGGTTCCTTTGTCTGAGTGCCTCAGTGTCCCTACTGTTACTATCCCCTACACCTCCAGCTGCCCTGGATTAACCTGAGCACAGTGTGCTCAGGCATCTATCCTGGTTCTCTCCAGCTCTTCCTGCCCTCTTTACCCCTGGCCCTGCCCTCCCCTTCCCCCAGGCACATTTTCCCTTGGCTGCTCCACCAGGGCTCTCCCTGCTTTTGTCTGGCGAACTCGCCCTTTCCCTAGGAGGATCTGCCCTGTGGCACATTGCCCAGGGGGGCACCCCTCTCATCACCTTGGTTGAGTCAGACTGGGGGGGGGGGGCACATGCTGTGACTCACTGACATCTTTTCCCTGAGCTCAGCTTCATTCTGAGACAATGAGCCAAATGGCTGGTGACAAGGACACTGAGTCAGGGGCAGGAGCCTGTTTCCCCTGGGTCCCTAGGTTTGGGCTCTAAATGAAACTTTTCAATCAGTAGAATGGAGCAATAAGGGTTGGCAAACCAATGTGTGCTCCCTAATTGGCCTGGGCAATGTCCCTGCTTCCTCTCTCCGCCTCTCTGCACAAGTACAACACTTCCCTTCCCTGTCACAGGTGGACAATACCCCGGCGAGAAGCCAGGACTCCCGGGCCCTGTCAACAACTTCGACACGTCCAGAAAATTCTGTCAACACCAGATCAATGTGTTCAGCCTTATTCACTGGCCTCAGTTTCTCCTTTTATATCTGTAATCTCTTCTGGGTGTGCAGGGAGCATACTTCATCCCTGAGTGATGGTGATTAGTTTTGGGGTGTTACATGCACATTTGGAACTGCCGCCTTCTTCCCGCACTGGGGCCACCGGGCGAGTGAGTGGGCAGGTGGGTGCCCATCCCGTTGCTTGCTGGGCAGTGTGGAGGAGGGGCGAAGGGGCGGAGCCGTGGGGCTCGGAGCGGCCCCCACCCGCGGGCCGGGCGGCATTCCTGGGAGGCCGGCGCTCTGACGTGGACCCGGGGGCTGCGAGTGCGGAGGTGGGGGCAGCAGCCCAGGGGCTTCTTAAACCCCCCGCCCTGGCCAGCCCTGTACTTCCCGAGCACTGCTCCGCCCCCGGAGGGAGACAGCGAACGGCAGCGAGAGGCCCGAAGCCCCGCCAGTCAGGGCGCTGAGAAGTTGGAGAAGAGTGCAGCGCAGAGTCCCGCAGTAGCGACCCGACAGCACCCGAACCCCGAAACCCCCAGGCCAAGCAGCAGCCCCGACTCCCCCCAGGCCCCGACAGCATGATGAACAACAGCGGCTACCCGGACGTCTCCGGCTTTGGCCTGGGCGATGAGGTGGACGAGATGCCGTCCACCGAGAAGGACTTGGCCGAGGACGCACCGTGGAAGAAGATTCAGCAGAACACGTTCACGCGCTGGTGCAACGAGCACCTCAAGTGCGTGGGCAAGCGCCTCACAGATCTGCAGCGAGACCTCAGCGATGGGCTGCGGCTCATCGCCTTGCTGGAGGTGCTCAGCCAAAAGCGCATGTACCGCAAGTTCCACCCGCGCCCCAACTTCCGCCAGATGAAGCTGGAGAATGTGTCCGTGGCCCTCGAATTCCTGGAGCGCGAACACATCAAACTCGTGTCCATCGGTCAGTGTGGGCATGGCCACAGTGGGGGAGGGCCTGTCCCTTAGGATCAGGGGACATAGGTGCTGTGTGGGCCCATGGGGAGCAGACAGATGGGAAAGGGAGGGCCCCCTGGCACCGGAGGGGCCCTGGGGCCTGCCTCTCCTCCACTGATGCAGTCACCCTGCCACTGCCCTGACACCTCTCTGTGGAGACACTTCCCAGGTGGTCAGAAAGTGTAGACCTTGCCCATTCTGATCCCAGCAGCACAGCCTCCCCCAGCCTCCCACAACCTGGGGCCATTCTCTGTCCCCTTTATTCTACTGAGCAGTCCCCAAGGGTGCTTGAGAGGAGATGACTGATTGGGGATAGGGGAGCATTTACCCCAAATCAACGAAGTAAATGGATTCCCATCCCCTCCACGGGGAAGGAGTGAACTGAAACCACACACCCCCAGCCTGGGTGTCACAGCTCTGAGGCCACAGAGAGCTGGTGGCCAGGCAGCTCCACCAACGCTCTCTGCAGGTTGTGCTCAGCAGCTGGGTTCAGGCCCGGGCTAGGATAGGCAGGGACCATCCTCAGAAACCTAAAAAGGCACTGAACAGTGGCAGGCAGCTTAACCCTTGCCTGCCCTTCTCCAGCTTAGGCCTGCCCAGAGGGGCCTCCTGCTTTTGGGTGCCCTGCCCCAGCCCACACCCTATGCCTGGGATTGGCTGCTGCTAACAGTCTGGGCTTGGGGAGGGAGGGAATGGCCTGTGGAAGGGAGGAAGTCATTGAGTGTAACCAGATTTGGAAGGTGTGTCCATGCTGGGTGGAGGTGGGGAGGCCTCCAGCCTCACTCCCACTGGCCCAAGGTGGGCTTTGGGTTGTAAGAGGCAGATGTGCCCCTCACATTCCCTCCTCCATCTTGGCAGGCTGGGGGCCTGCAGCAGACCCACAGCTTTGATGAACTTTTAGGAGCACTCGTGGTTTACAGAAGGACCTCTTTAGGGTGCTTCCTAGGGCTCTAGGAGGGGAGTTGTTTGAGGGCCAGTGCCCACATCCCAAAACCTTGTCTAGATAATTGGTTGCCTAGTCACCTCCACTCTCCCTCAGGGCCATCCTTAGGCCTCCTGAATTAGCAGCTGAGGTCAGTCCAGGGGCCCTTTGCCCTGTCCAATCCCCTCCCTAGGCCTTACCTCCTCCTGACCCAGTATTGCCCTCCCCACCCGCCAGCCCTGGCCTGGAACTATCCCTGTCTCCGTGACACAGCAGATGTCTCTGAGCTTTCCAGAAGGACAAGCCTGAGGGCAAGGGGTGGGGGAGGAGTTTGTGTAGTGAGTTTGAGGGGTAGGGGTGAGGGGTGAGAGAGGCAGTCCTGGGCTGTCTGTCATCTCGCTCCATGCTGGGATTGAAAGGCAGGACAGACTGTCCCAGGTGGGGTCTCCAGGGAAAAGCCAGGGCCTCTGCCAAACAGTATAGGAAGCTGCTCAGCTTCCCCTCCCTCAGGCTGTGTCTGAGGCTGTGGCTGTGGCTGCTGGCTGCTGGGGGCCCCGGCCCCTCTCCAGGCCTCATCCTTCCCAGTGCACCTCTCCCCTCCCCCATGGCGGTGCCTGGCTCCAGCCCCCTTGGCTCAGCTCGGGAGGGGCCAGCTCCTAGTCCAGGGGAAAGAAGCCAGAGCTGTTTGGGGGTGGGAGGGAAGTTCCCTGGGTTCCTGCTGGGAGGAAGGGGAGCTGTGCTCCAATGGGCCAAGAGGCTCACTCACACTGATGAGATAAGCTGTCAGCAATTCAGCTGTTGGGCCAGGGCTGAGACTACAGGGGAGGGGCACAGACACCAGCTGGAAGACCCCCATGTGTAAAGAGGTGACCTGCAAGGATGGAGTGTGCTGTTTCCTCCAGTTTCCTGGGTCCATTTAGTGCTGGGGAGGTGCCTTCCAGAGGCTTCCTTCAGGATGTTGTCTCAGGACTGAAACTGAGTATCTGGGCATTTTGGGGGTCTCATAAAGACCCCCCACTACTCTTTCTAGACAGCAAGTCAGGGCTTGGGATGGGAGCAGGAAGGTGAGACTTTTCAAAGTCCATCTACAAGAGGAGTTCTCAATCCGTATCAGGAACTGCATGCCCTTCTTCCCCCAGAAGCCCCTTCTGGGCCCCCACTGCCCCCTCAGCCCCTTGAAACAAAGAGGCCTATGAGGCAGCTCTCTCCCGCAGCTGTTCCCCAGTTGCTATTCCTTCTCCTGGAGCCAACAGCCGAGGAGGGGCAGGAGGGGGCAGCAGCTGTCCCAGCACCTCCCTCTGCCCAGCCCTCTCCACTAGAGGCAGTGTGTATCAGGTCTGGGACTAGCTGTCTGGTTTCTTCTACTCCTTTGGTGGTAATAGTCAAGTGTAGCTCAGTGGGTGCTGC